CATTATTACAAACAGTACAATAAAAACCACACGAATTTACTGATCATCATTGCCGCTGTCATCGAGCAGTTCATCTTCTAGTACATCCTTGTTGTGACCGCTGTGTTCCAACTTTTGATAGAAGTCATGATAGATGGGAGGAACTTTAACAGTTTCATTAAATCTGAGTATTTTTCTTTGCTCAGTTTTGTTGCTCCACAGTACAGTGGAGCCAAACTCACTTCACTAAGATTCGTTTGACATCCGCGTTTCGCTAGCGAAATGAAACTGAATGATGCGTCATCATCTAAAGAGTATTTAAAGAACAGTTTGTATGGCTCGTTCTTTCTAAGTTGCAGCCATTGCGTATCCAGCCAGTTGACCTTCTGGTCACTCTCATCCACTTTCCGATTTGTAATTAAATTCAATAAGGGCTCCACACTCTTGAAATTATCAGTGCTTAATCTTGCAACACTGAAGCGCTTCTTCATAAAGCAGTTCTCGATCAGTTTGTACCACTGTTCTGGCACGAAGATCTCTGTGGATTTTGGTTTTGCTCTCTCAATTATTCCAAAATCTGCATTGTTAGGCAAATAAGAATGCCCAGAGACCATAAACTTATGATTCACCAGTTCAATACTCCTTGTCTGCGTCAAATGCATCCATAACAGTGCAATTTTTATATTTCGATTTTGGCCGCCGCACGAGTCGCTGAATGCTGTAATAGACGTAATATCCCTATTTGCCAGATTTTGACAATATGCCAATAAGCATGAACCGATCTCACCTGCACCTTGTGAGGCTGTTCCCTCATGCCATACATTCATCACTGCATTGTCATTTTTAAGGTCATAAATGCCTAGATTATACACTGATAATTGCCGGCAATAATAAACTTCATTGGTTGTAAGGCAAGGCAATGACATGACCTTTTGCAGGTCAAAACAAAAAGATGCATGTTTATTGTCTTCATTTTCCTTTTCTAGTTTTAAGGATTGATGCGCCTTCTCTGCTTTGTGCAAATGAATCTCATGCGCTGCTTTTAGTTGAGATTTTTTGTGTTCAGTTTTTTCTATTTCAATGTCTGTTTTAAAAATGTCACATTTCTTGCACGTATCTTTTAGTGGCTGATGGAACGTCAAGTTAAATTCATGATTAAAAATGTTCCGAAATTTCCACTCTTTTTGGGGTTCGACTGAATCCTGTATGCATTTTTCTCTATACATGTCGTACATAGTGGATACCGTCAAATGAGCAGGTAGAAAGCGGCGAGATGCACTGTGACTTCTAGTATAGTGACTTTCGTATGTGGGAAACATGCGAATATGATCTTTAATGCGAGTGATGTGTTCCTCATGAATGCGTTGTGTCTTGTGATCATATTTTCCTCGTCCATCTTTGCCTGACACACCACCATTCTCCCGTTAGTTGACTAACGCACGATTTAGTCGACCGCTGCTAATGTCAAATATCGCCAAGAAGTATGGTTTGCAAACAGTAACGGGCTTATTATCTGCAAACACAGAGTATACTCGTGCAAAATCCTTTGCATGTTTTTTTTCATTTTTCGTAATTTTGTTTTTTCTTACTCTTGGTCATCTACGTTCTACTGTTGATTGTTTCACGCAGCCAGCAAGAAACTGATTTTGTGCATCAAAATCTCCCAATTTCTAGAAATTTTCAAACAGAGTTTTAGTCTGCTCTAAAGTCAAATTTTCAGCACATCTGTTTTTGCAACTGTGATTTATTAAATAATGTTCGTTTAATTTCTTAGCTTTTTGTAACGTTCCGCCATGCTTTATATATTCGCTACCTGTATTTTGTAAGCGCTTAATCACATTTTTCTTCCAGTTTGTTACACAACGTTTTCGTTTTCAAGGGCGTTGATCGGTTACAATCGGAGATTCAGTTGTTACAATCGGAGATTCAGTTGTTACAATCGGAGATTCAGTTGTTACAATCGGAGATTCAACTGCTACAACTGGTGAATTATAGGCTACAATTGGAGATTCAGCTGCTAATGTAGAACGTTCTGTCTATATCTGCTGCTAAGTTAGGATCTGCAATTGTTGTATCAGTAGCTAGAGATCTTTGAACCTTCTTGCACTTTATCAATGCCAGTGACACCATGTGTGCGGCTCGTGAATGCATGTTTACACTATTCTACAATAAATATTTTTTAAATATTACATACATTCAGAATATTATTAGAAAGAATAATGTACATGTATACAACATGCATGCAAGTGCTCCCCTAGCTAGATGTTATTAAAGCCACAAAATTGACCTTTCTAAAGAGGCTGTAACTTTGGTAGTGACAGACCATTATATCTACTGTCTAACAAATCAATATTTATATTCCTGCTGAGAGCAATTGAATAAATCTTATATTATCGCTCACTAAACTATTTCAGTTTTGTCACTTTATAAAGTGTGAAAGTGCTGTATACTTCACTATATTAATATAAAACCATAATCAGATATTCATTTAAAGCATCTTACCTGTAGAAATGTTATTCTTGTTCTAATATAATAATAATAATTCTAAGAAAATTTGTAGTTTATGTGGTCTTGAATCTTGATTTCTTACATTAATGCACTATCAATGGACTTGGTCCACTATTACTCTTTATACCTGGTGATTTATTGTTAGAGTAAAAATGTGCTGCCCTCTGTTGAATAAGAAATAAATGTGTTATGGACTTGGTCCATTTTTGCTCTAAAAATATAGCAAATTTTTAGCAGTTTTACATACATAAGGGTCATTTGAAAAAAATTAGACTTGGTCCACTTTTACTCTCATAGGCTCATATGTGTGTATGCATGTTTTTTTATTCATATATATATATATATATATATATATATATATATATATATATATATATCAGGCTTTCCCAGGAAAGGCGTGCAGTCGCACGCCTTGTTTGTCCACGCATAGAATAAGTTTTTCAGAAAACGTGACCGCGGCAATATTTCGTGTGAAAGCGGAAATTATTTACAGAGAATAAAAAATAAAATTAAAAAAAGGAAACGAGGTCTAAACAAAGTATAAAATTGAAATTGGATGTAAGAAAATTAATTTGATAATAAAAAAAAAAATTAAAAAAAAAAAAAGTTCTTGTAACAAAAAAAAAAAAAAGTCTTGAACATTTTTTTCAAACTTTTTATACTGTTTTTGTTTGCTTTTTTAAGAGTTGCTATTTTCAGCTACGAAATTTGATACTAGTCAAGGGAAAGTCGTAAAGTTTTCACGAAAATAAAAAGACTTGATACGTAATTTATTCACGAACTTTATCAGACAATGTATTAAAAAGCTGATTCATTATTTACGCTAGACAAATTTGGTTAAACTTTTTCATTTACTTTAGTTTTTACGAAAGTTTATGTAAAGGCGTTGACTTTATTCCCCAATACTTTAACAAGAAAATAAGTTGCTGTTTTAATTATTAAATATATTATTTCAGATTTTAAACAAAAAAATTTTAATGTGAAAAAAGTTCTTTCTCGACTTATTCTAAACTGATTATACTGAGTCAATGCTCGTCTTTTATTACGTTGAAATTATTCAATTGTAATTACGAAAAAAGTTAAAAAAATAATTGCATTGCTTCTGTTGTCATAGTTACGAAAACAGTTCCTTCGGGACATTATTATATATTAACACTTGTTCACAATGTCTATTAATGATTGCAAAATAAACAATTCAATCGTTTGATAATAAAATTTTCTTTCGTTTAAAAAAAACAACAACATATTTTACTAATAAATAGCAATCGTTTTCGTGTTTTCTTGCGTATCAATACATTCAAACATTTAAATCAATACACTTAAACATTTAAATGTATTTACAAAACATTTAAAAATTGTTTATAGTTCTATCGTGAATTTAATAGTATTACTGACTGATAAAAGTCATAAACAAATTTACATTAAAAGGTCCTTTTATTTTCTTTAAACATTAACTTTTTTCTCTTTGATTTGATTTTTCTTATTGATTTGATTTTTCATAGCTAAAATAACTACCACCCTAAAAAAATAAATAAATAAAATGTAGGTAAATTTTTTTTTAATAATATACATTAATTTTTTAATTTTAAAGCACAAACAGATTTTTGTTATTCACTTAAAGATTGCTTGCATTTTTGCGGTATTTTCGTTTAGCTTTGTTTTGGCGCGAATTCTTGAAACGCATAATAATAAAACGTGGTCAGTTAGTCAGAAAAATTTATTCAATGCGTGGACAAACAAGGCGTGCGACCGCACGCCTTTCCTGGGAAAGCCTGATATATATATATATATATATGTATATATATATATATATATGTATATATATATATATATATATATATATATATATATATATATATATATATATATATATATATATATATATATAGATATATATATGTATAAATTGAACTCTGTTACATGTTTAACTATTATTTTGTAGGCTTTGCATGTCTGGGATTCTTATCTCCAGCTAATAGAGGTGCTTTAATGACATGTGTTTTAGTAAGAAACTTTTTTTCTTATTACAATTTTAATCAATTAAAAAATTTATTGAAGTATTTTTGATACTAAATTATAGCTTTTAATATATTTCTCTGTTACAGTTTAATACAGTTTAAAAATACATTTCCTAGGTACTGTTTGTTTGTTTGGCTGCTGTGGGAGGGTATAGTTCAGCAAGAGTTTACAAAAGTAAGACTACAAAATTCTACAAAAAACTGCAAAATTTGTTTTAAAAAATATGACTAAAATAATGAAATACTTTTAAATACCTAAAAGTATTAAGTTTTTTAAAATAATTAAAAGATGTTGTTAAGTCAGGGACGTGGTGGCTCTAAAAAGCACATGCAGGATTCTATTCAAAAAGGCCTATATATGCTGGGTTTTACCATATATACTGGATGTAAAGGCCCTTATATGCATATATATATATATATATATATATATATATATATATATATATATATATATATATATATATATATATATATATATATATATATATATATTATCACTTAGGCGGAAAGATTTTACAAAAAACGAACACTTATGGGGACATTAGCATTATCAGGGACATTTTAGTGTGCCTGTTAATTTTTTGTCCCCGTAAGCATTATTTTTTTTGTAAAAAAATGTACCCATAAAAAACTTTTATAGAGAACCAAAAGTACATACATCAACTATCAAATAGCCTGACTCGCAAGGGGGTGCTGCTACATCGACCGAGGGTTTGTTTATGCTGGGCATCAAGGTCAAGCTTAGGGTTACGGCAAGGTTTAAATATGGTTATATTATTGTAATTAATCGTTTTTATAAATAGATAAAGTTAAAAATGAAATATAATATAAAATAAATAAAAATAACAAAAATTAATATAAAAAATATATTTTTATAATAATATAATAAATTTAATTATGTATAAATAAAAATAGAAATAAAAAAAAGTTAAAAAATATATAAATATGATAAAAATAGTATAAATAAGTAAAAAAAACAACAGAATGGAACAAAAAAAATGTCCCCGAAAGTCGCGACTAGGATGCTATATATATATATATATATCAACCTTCGGAATTAGGGGTGGTATTTGGCAATGTCGACCTAACTGCCGACCTGAAAGTGTTTGAGGTCAGCAATTTTTTGTTTTTTTATTAAAACTTTTTATTAAAAGAATTTATTATTTTGTAAATATTTGCAAAATAATAAATTGTTTTAATAAAAAGGCAATTTAAATATATATTAAAATAAAGTTTTAAAAATATGGTAAAAAATGCTATGTTCTTTTTAACAATTTTTTTTTTTTTTTTAATATAAGAAAACAACGTTGCTGACAATTATTTTTCTGATGCATTTATGATATGATACAAAACTTTACAGTGTAAAACTTAAAAAACTAGTACTAAAACGTAATCAATTTAATTTTATTTATGAGCTTTTTTATCTAAATATCAATAAAACCCATATGTTTACATAACAAACATAAATATAGTAAATGTAAAAATATTTGTGGATTTTCTTCAGAATGTAGAAAAAAGTGAAAATTGGTAAAAGGCTCATATTTAGATGAAAGTGAAAGGCCCATGCGGGAATCCTGCATGGCATCTTGGGCCACTGCGCCCCTGTGTCAAGTCACTTGATGAGTTTTAAATAATATTTATAATTATTTTAGCACTTGGAGGAGAGCATTGGAAGACAAATGTTATTATGACAGCATTTTTTTTCCCGGGGTAAAAATTGTAAAAATAAATAACCAAAAAAGGATTTTATTTTAAAAATAAAATAATAAATTTTTTATTTTAGTATTGTTTTTGGATTATTTTTTATCTTAAATCTTGCACTTTGGGTTAAAAATTCTTCGGCTGCTATACCTTTTGGTACTCTAGTGGCTTTGCTTGCTCTCTGGTGAGTCATTTCAAATAAGTATTTTATATTATTTGGTCATCAGTTTGTAATTAGTTTATTATTTTTTTAATGTTACTCACCTTCCCAAGGCCAAGTCGGCCACTACAGTCAAGCAGGCTGCTTTTTTTTTTTTGTAGTTATGACCCTCCCTCAACCTTTTAAGTCCAAAACACAAACTTTGACAAACAAAACTCTATTATAGAGAAATAAATAAAGTGCAGTACTACCAGGGACTTGGCAAGGTCCAACTCAGAACTTCTCGCTAATGAAATTGCTTATGAATAGAACGCTCTAACACTACACCACTACCACATATTACACTTACACACCCACGTCCTTCTGCAAATGTATTAGTTCTTCAATCTTGTGAGAGTGTTTATCTGTTGTTATTCTATAGATTGAAAGTACTTCTTTTGTTATTTAAAAATAATATTGTATAGTGGGAAATAAGACAACTTAATTTTCTAAAACAGAAAAGAATTAAAAATATTCTAAATAAGAATTTTAATCTAATTTATAAATCAGAAAAATTTCCATTAGATTTGTAATTAGTTTTAAAATGGTTTAGTTATTTATTTCTCTTACATATTATATATATATGCAAAAATATATTATATAATGGTAATATAGTTATATATTATATTATGCAAAATGGTAATTTTTCAAAAAATTCTGAATTGATTTAAGGTAACTTTTTAATGTCTTTGATCATAAGATGACTTATTTCATTATTTTAAGATTGAATACAAGTTATTTTATGCATGAAAATTATTCAAGTAATTTAAGTTAAAAATAATTGTGTGAAAATTTTGCATATCTTTTATCAATTATTTTAAAACAGTTCCATATCTAAATACCTATTTACAAGTTTATAAAATCTAAATACCCATTTTGAGCCCTGAGATTCCAAATTCGGACCAAATTGATAATAGCTTTGTATTTTTTTATAAAATATGCGATTTATTGTTTATTTGACCAAGTTGGACCATTTGCTTACCTTTAAAATAAATAACAAATTTTTTTTCAGGAAATAAGTGAAATTTTTAAATGTTTAAAAAACTCATAAACAAGAGCTCAGCTAAATGGCCATTGCATTAAAAGTAAAAAAAAAAAGTGTCCTAGTCAGCCTAAAGGTAGTAATAAGAAATGTGATGATGAAAAAGTAATAAGAAATGTAATGATGGGGTAGTAAAAAGAAATGTGATAATTTGAGTTTTTGTTTCAAAGGTTGATTGAGTCTGATTCAGACGCTAACAAAAAACCTCAGTTGAAAAAGATGAATTCAAAGTAAGATCTTCATGATAAGAAAAAGAAAACTTTATCACTAAAGTTGAAACAAAAAAAAATTCAAGAGTAAACAGTACATTAGAATTACAACACTTTGTCTTGTAGTTTTACTTCAGGAAACAGTAAAGAAGTAATTTCATAGTTATGTAGTTCATATAACTTAATAATTTCATATAACTTAAAATAAGTTCATATAACTTGTAGTAGTAATAAGAAATGTAATAGTGGGGTAGTTATGAGAAATGTGATTGGCTGAATCTTATGTAAAAGAATTATGAGATAAAAGTTTTAGTGAGGTCAATAGCAAATATAATATATCAAAGCAATTCATAAATTTTTTTTTTTTTTTTTTTTTTTTTGCTCAAGAAATCCTGAACATGAAGTTTATTGTTTACAGATTGTAATTAGAAAAAGTATTTATCTCACTGAAACACATTCAAATTGGACAACACAGTCATAAAAAATGGATTATTGTTGCAAGAAGATGTCTTAGAAATTAGCACTCTAAACATGGATTAAAGGGACAAAATCTCAACAACTTTAAGTTTTTATTTAAAATTTATTATGTAAAAATATCATTATGTAAAAATATAAAATTCATCCAATACTTAATTGTATATAATAATGTTTTTGGAGAAATTTTTTGATGACCAGAGCAGAAACAAAAAAAAAGCAATCTGTTTGATACCTAGTCCTCAAAGTAAGGCCTGATGAAAGATTGTGATAAACGATAAGACAGGATTTTGTAATTACTGAAAACCATTTCGTTCTTTTTTTTCCTTGCTTCAAGCTCTGGGTATACTCCACCATATTGTGCAAGTGAAAAGTGCAGTAGTTTTTGACTTTATTATAAAAAGTAATAGAGGACTTCTGTGATGACAATATATAGGTATAACAATATATAGTATAATATATATATATATATATATATATATATTATATATATATATATATATATATATATATATATATATATATATATATATATATATTTCAGTTTTTAATAGAAAAAAAATAATTCGAGATTTTGTAATCTGAGAATAATGGACCATATTGTCAGACAAAATCTTTTTACATAAATTTTTTGCCATGATAAAAAGAATTTTGTTTACCGTTGAGTTGTTCTTGTGGAAAAGACGGAAGAAAGGATTATTATTAGAAATGCTCTACAAGAAAAAGAATATTGGGTAGAGTGAAGTTATACTTGGAACTGAGACAAATAGGAATAAAATCTTCCATGTCTGCCTGAATCAAAAAGATTATAAAAGAGGCACAATTTTCAAGTAAATGACATTACTTCACTAAAGTCAATAAAAAATTTTTAATCTTTGAAAAATTTTTGAAGCTCTTAAAATTGAATTTCTATTATTTCTGTTATTGAAAAAATAACAGAGTAGTTATTTTTTGGTTAATGATATTAGTTCTATTTGTTTAATTTCCAACTTAGGGTTAGTTGAAGTTTTTTCCTATATTCTCTCTAGCACTATATTGGAAGCTTTTTATGTTTTTATATTGAATGCTATTATATTCATTATACTTTCTTATATTTATTATACTTTCAAATTACTATTTTTTTTTAACAATGAGTGAATGTTTTTAATTCATATTAGTACTTATTACTATTTGTAAATATCCTTGATGTAACAACTTTATTTAGAATATATTTGGTTTGGCTCAAGAGCCTATCAAATTTTCAAAGTTCTTGAGCATTCCCTAAAATAAATTTTATTAACTAATTTTACTAATTCGTTTTACTATATTGAACATATTTAGGGGTCGGAAAAAACACTTAAAAAAAAAGGTTTTTAAAAACCCTTCCGTGTGTGTTGGTCTCTCTCTTTCTCTCTCTCTCTCTCTCTCTCTCTCTCTATATATATATATATATATATATATATATATATATATATATATATATATATATATATATATATATATATATATATATATATATATATATATATATATATATTAGGGTGGAGCGATTTTTAAAATTTTCGAAATTTGATTAGCCTGAGCTGCGAATCGATGTCTTTTGGTGAAAAAACAGCCTTACTTTTTTTTTAATATAAATGAGTTTTAGAGGTTCCTCTTTGGATTCTAAATTTATGACGGATCCTAATATTGTTGAAATTTTTTTTCTTCTAAACTTTATTAACCTAGTACTCAAAAGAAGCAGAATAACACGCTTATTTTGAATATAATATTTGTTTTAATTTTTAAAAAACCCCTGTCTTCATCAAAACGGGGGTTTTAAGGTATATTTTTGCAAATATTTTTTTTACTAAAAATTTTTTTTAAATAAAATTATTATTGATAAAACAAGCATTTTTTTCTGCTTTTTTTGAGTCCAAGGTTGATATAGTTTAGAAAAAAAAAAAATTCAAAAATATTAGGATCCGTCAAGGATTTAGAATCCAAAGAGGAACCTCACGATCTTATCGAAACCAAAAAATATTTTTTTACTTTCATCTTATAATTAATAGACATCGATTCGTGTCTCAGGAATATTGATTTTTAAACTTTTTTTTTTGCTATGAAAATCTCTCCACCCTAATATATATATACATATATGTATATTAGGGATATGACAATTTTGCAACCCTATATCCCCATACTAAATTTAGTGGAGTTTTTGTTCAAAAATCAAAAAAATAACAAGCATTTTTACTTATGTCAAAAAAGTTCACCCCCCAATTAAAAAACATTTATTAAAAAAAGAAAAAAAAAAGTAGTTTTGCAACACAACTTCCACTACTTTACAGAAACCAATAAACATGTATAATTAAAATTTGTCTACTGTGTATTTGACAATAAGTATTTAATATTTAGTTTTTCTATGCTATGACATAATGGCATTAAGTCTTGCATCACTTTCACAGCACGTTCTGCACATATATTCGACCGTTGTGTTGGTATTGGTGTTGGCTCAGTGGACCAAAACCTTTTCAATGATTTCTAAGCTTTGGGATGCTGATTGCATGCTTCTAATAGATTAACAAAATCTGCAGGATTGAAGTAGTGACCCCCAAACCATATATCACCCCGTGAACCACATATGAAGTCACATGCTGCTTGAGTAGATTCTGATTCTTGGTATTCTGGTATTAAAATGTAAGCAAGTAGAATAAAAATGGCTCTCGAATTCCATCTTGCATTGCTTATAGCAAGAAGTGATTTGAAATTAACTTTTGGAAAGTTATCTGAGTTTTTAAACTTTCTATAACATGCTATTAAGTGATTCAGGAAATCCATGTCATCTCTCCAGCAAGTTGGCTTCACTTTCATCAAAGGATTTCCAATATTACAAAATAATAACTTCAAGTTCTCGTAATCTTGCTGCAACCTTGTCACAAAAGGGTAATGGAGATATGGTGACATTGTTGATCCTTCAAAATGATCATTCATGACATGTTTTAAAAAAATATGGTGTTGGCATCTATCTAGAATATGGTGTTGGCATCCAATAAAAACAGGCTTTTCTAGTCCAATGGTTTTATGTTATACTACAACTACTTGATATTCCATTTTCTTTGTGACTTCCATCAAATGACTTTTGTGACTTTACTTCCATCAAAGTGCAAAGACCACTTTTCATTTTTTAGGTTTTCCATATAATTTACTTTCAACTTTTCCCCTTCTTTCATAACACCTTTGTAGATACCACTTTGCGTTGGAGTGTAAATAGAAATACCACTTTCTGAGAGAGTTTTACATACTTTATGTGCTTTTTTGGTACTAATCTTTGCAGAAATCACTAAATTTACTGCTGTATTTATTTTTTGTTTTTTAAATGATGATGACGGACCTTCAGCTTCAATATCACTGCTGGAACACTGCTCTTTACTTTCTGAAGGAACTCCTTCACTATCTGGTTCAACAAAATCTTGTCCTTGACTGATGGACATTTGTTTCTTTATCATCACTAATTTTCTTGGATGAATACCTTCAGCATCTTTAATTGTGGTTCAATATCCAGCTCTTCCATTTGTTGACTTTTGAAGACAATAAAATTCTTTATCTTCCTGACACAACCATTCACCTTTCTCATCGGTTATGTCAAACAATCGTGTAAAATCTTGACAATCTTTGTCAAGTTTTTTCAATACATTTTCTATTTTTCTTTCTGCTGCCAATTTCCCTTGTTGAATAGGAATATTTAGCTTTCTCCATAGCAATTTAGTTTCTTTAGCCACAATTGTAATTCTCTCCTTTCTACTTTTCACATTTGATGACAAACTTTTAAATCGATCAATGATACGCTGTTCTGTTGGCAACTTATTCATTTCACTAATACTTTTAACAACAGTAGTACATTTTCTGGAAGTTTTAGCTTTTTCAAACCTTACTAAATTTGATTCTCAAACTTTCTTATTTTTGTTTGAAGCAACACTATTTTTGGGCATAATGTTCAAAACACAAGATAACAGTTTGACAAACTTAAAGAAGACAATTCCAGTTATATACTAAAAACCAATTAAAAAATGCTGAAGCACTTCCACACGGTCCAACAGTGTTGAAATCGAAAATTGCAGTTATTAAAAATTGCAGTTATCTCGTAAAGAAATCTGTAGAATTTATGATGTTTGTAAATACATTTCTATATTGAGTAAGATTGTGTTATGTCTCTATTAAGTAATTTATAACTCACTAAAAAGATAGGAAAAATTATTTTCAGCTTAAGGGGTGATCTTTTTTGACAATTTACATAAAAAAAAATAGATTTTATGTTCATAAATATAATTTCTCCACTCATCTTTACATGGGATGGGGAATAAAAAATTTTAAATTTTTTTTTTTAGTCATACTTTTAATATATATATATA